ACAGAGCATTTATATATAGAGAGATTAATTAATTAATTAATAATCATTTCTCCAGTATTCTTTACAACCCTACAACTCTTTACAATCCATACATCATTTCAGGGTTTTCTTCCCATTTTCATGGCTGTCTAAAGCTGGATTCACCAGCCCTGATCCCCAAATGATACGTTTACAAGAGTTCCCTATATGTGATGGCATTTGGTTGGTTGGTTTTGTATTTAAAAAATTATATCTGACATCATATCCAACATTGTCAAGTTGGCAAACAATGAAATCAATTTAAACAGTTAAACAACTTAAAATGCCAGTTGTTTATCCTTTACCCGAAGTGCTTGGACCAGAAATAGTCTTTTGGATTTTGAAACTTTTTTTCCAGATTTTGTAATACTTGTATTTGCATATATGTGCATAATGAGGAATCTTAGAGATGGAACCCAAGTTTTAAAAATTCATTTATGTTTTATATACACCTTGTACATATAGCCTATAAGCTAGGTAATGAAGAGCTTAGAAGACAGGATGGTGAAGATGAGAAGAGGGTGAAACTGCACGTACTGGTTTTGAAATTGGGCACACAGCTCAAGGCAAGCCTTGTAGGTAAAGATGAAAAGTATGCCATCCTCATATAATATTCTTTTTTGTGGTGGTGGAATGATAAATTAGTGTAGAACAGGGTCATTTATTCAGATACTTTGACAGACAGAAAATAGTTAACAGATGTCCAGGATATAAATCATATTTCTTTGCAGTAGGAGGGGGCATAAATGCATAATGATTGCGTGGACTGATTCCAGGCACTGGCAACAACAGATATATGTTACACAATGATAAAATAGGTAGTGTGTCACCAAATGTGATTTTCAGATATATTTATATCTTGTGCAGGTTTTAAGTCCTGGACATCTATTTTAAAACATCCCTGGTTGTTCAGGTTTCCCTCAGATGTTCCTACTGCCATGAAAGTGTCATGAGAAATTTTGCAGACTTTTAATACTGGAATCAGTAATTCAGCTCACTATTATTAATTATTATCATCTGCATCTGGGGAATAGAATCACTAGCAATTGCTATACATTTGAAATTGTTAAGGAGTTATCTTTTAATTAGATAAATATTTATTGGAAAGTTAAGTTCCAGGCTGATGTATCTTGGTTTAATTCAAGGGCTTCAGGATTCAGGGACCTCAAATATAGAGTGTGGGTACTCTTCATCAGAAATGAACTGTGTTGCTATTTCAGGCTAGTGGTTTATTTATTTATTATTTATTTCCTGCATTTATAACCTGCCCTTCTCACCCCCGAAGGGGGACTGGTTGTCTGTTTGATGGTTATTTTTATATTGTGTTATGCTGTTATTTTATTTTACTTATTGCTGTTTTTATTAATTTTAATATGTTATTTTAACTATTTTGATCGGGCTTGTCCCCATGTAAGCCACCCTGAGTCCCTTCGGGGGAGATGAAGGCAGGGTACAAAATTATTATTATTATTATTATTATTATTATTATTATTATTATTATAAAGGGAAGATACCTCCCACTTGGTCCATTCGGTCATGAATGAGTGACTATGTCATCTGGTCAAATTCGCACTGGAGACTTTTATTAAGATTCTTATTCCAAGATTCAGTTATGGAAGTCTTTGGCCTCTGTATATTTCTTATAAATCAGGAATGAATTATACTGAACCCATGCCTGTAGATAATCCTTTTCACAAGAAAAATATTTTGTCTAATAAGCATTCTCTTTAAGTTTCCTTTCTAAATAAGCTGGGCCAATACTGTTTAAAATGCTGGGAATATTTGTCATTCTGCTTTCCTAAAAGATTAATTTTTAAGTTGGGTCCAACATTTTTGTAGTGTCATAGTCATGCAGAAAATGGTAGGATCTAATTTCCAAAGTCTTGGCTTTAAAAAATGAAGTCCTAGCTCCTGTAGTTGGCTAAAAGAAGTTTAAAAGGATTAAATCAATACCAACTGAAACCTCCTGACCATCTTTGTAGAATTTTTATCAGTTGAAGGAGAGGAGTTTTGTAGCCTTCTCATCACAGATTTGAAGCCTCTCTGCCAGGTTTCTTCTTTATGTTCATCAGTGAACCATGGGTTGTCCCTTAGTTGTTGTTGTGTGCCTACAAGAAGTTTTCGATCTATGGCACTCTGTCACAAGGTTTTCTTGTCAAGGTTTGTTCAGAAGGTGTTTGCCAGAGTGTGACTTGCCCAAGGGCACCTTGTGGGTTTCCATGGCAAAGCTCCATTATTTCAGACATCACAATTTCTGAAATAACTGAGCTTTAATTGCAATTTTCCTGCTTCTTGGCAGGGGGTTGGACTAGATGGCCCACAAGGTCTCTTCCAACACACGGATTCTAATTTTTAAACTGAGACAGAAAGAAACTGTCATTGTGAAACCTTATTTGGAAAGGAGTTTAAGTGTTATATAGGTACTATCCAAATAAGTTTTGGTTGACTTATTTTGTATATAAGATCAAAACTTTTGTATTATCTCAGGACTTTATCTTTGATATTATAGTGCTTTTCAAAGTTTCAAAATTGAGCTGATTTATAGAACTACTGTATTAAAAAACACTAGGTTCTACTTATATTAGCAATCTGTAATGTATATTAATACCATTATATTTTGTTGTTGTTCTGATTGCACCAATATTTATAATTTCAGTGGTATTGGGATCAATTAAAACAATTGCTAGTCTTTGTGCTGCATTTTAATTTGTAGATTAGTCCCATTACTCATTTTGTTACTAAATTCACTTTAAATAAATTCATTTATATTGTATTTGTGTTAAATAAGTATGGAAACATGCACATGTTTATAAATCAGCAGTGAAGTAACTCACAATAAACTATTTGATTTTGCTAATCAAGTCAAATACAGAACCACAGTTAAAAGTGAGTGAAATTTACCTACCCATGACCATTAATAGGGACCCCTTGTTACGAATGCTATTTTTAAAAGAGAAGTGATATGTCTTGCCGAAGGCTTTCATGGCCGGAAACAGTGAGTTGCTGTGAGTATTCCAAGCTTTATGGACATGCTCCAGAAGCATTCTCTCCTGATGTTTCGCCCACATCTATGACAGGCATCCTCAGAGGTTGTAAGGTCTGTTGGAAACTAGACAAGTAAGGTTTATATATCTGTGGAATGTCCAGAGTGGGAGAAATAACTCTTGTCTGCTTGAAACAAGTGTGAATGTTGCAATTGGCCACCTTGATTAGCATTTAATGGCCCACAGCTTCAAAGTTTGGCAGTTTGCTACCTGGGGGAATCCTTTGTTCAGAGTTGTTAGCAGGACCTGATTGTTTCTTGTCTGGAATTCCCCTTCTTTTTGAGTGATGCTATTTATTTACTATCCTGATTTTAGAGTTTTTTTTAATACTGTTAGCCAGATTTTGTTCATTTTCATGGTTTCCTCCGTTTGGTTGAAATTGTCCACCTGCTTGTGGATTTCAATGGCTTCTCTGTGTAATCTGACTTGGTGGTTGTTAGAGTGGTCCAGCATTTCTGTGTTCTCAAATAATATGCTGCATCCAGATTGGTTCATCGGGTGCTCTGCTAAGCTGACTTCTCAGGTTGAATTAGCCTGCAGTGCCTTCCATGTTCCTTGATTCGTGTTTGGGTGCTACGGTTGGTGATCTCTATGTAGACTTGTCCACAGCTGCATGGTATACGGTAGACTCCTGAAGAGGTGAGAGGATCACTCTTGTCCTTTGTTGAACATAGCATTTGTTGGATTTTCTTAGTGGGTCTGTAGATAGTTGTAGGTTGTGTTTCTTCATCAGCTTCCCTATGTGATCTGTGGTTCCCTTGACGTATGGGAAGAACACTTTTCCTCTGGGTGGATCTTTGCCTTTATTATCCTGGCTTGTTCTTGGTCTTGCAGCTCTTCTGATGTCTGTGGTGGAGTAGCCTTTGGCCTGTAGAGCCCGGTTTAGGTGGTTCAGTTCACTTTGAGGAAGGTGGGGTTCACAGATTCTTTTTGCACAACCTGCCAGGACTTAAGTTGTGCTTCTTTTTTTGACTTGGGTGATGGTTGGAGTTTTTATGTAGGTATCTATCTATGTGTGTAGGTTTTCTGTAAATTGTGTGGCCCAGTTGTTGATTGGGTTTGCGGATGCGGATGACTAGGACATATAGCAATGGCAGTTTTCCTTCATTTTCTTTTTCCATGGTGAATTGAATGTTTGTATGGATGCTATTGAAGTGGTCCAGGAACTTTTTGAATTCTTCTTCTCCATGGTTCCAAATGGTGAAGGTGTCATCCACATATCTGAACCATGTAGGGGGCTTTTTTGTTGCTGTTTCCAGAGCTTGTTTTTCGGAGTGTTCCATGTAGAAATTTGCTATGACCCGGCTAAGAGGGCTCCCCATGGCTACTCCATCTTTCTGTTCATAGAATTAATTGTCCCACTGGAAGCAGCTCATGGTGAGGCAATATTTAAACAGAGCTGTGATGTCTTCTGGGAAATTCTGGTTGATTAGTATGATGGTGTCTGCTACCGAGACCTTGGTAAATTGGAAAACTTAGCTCTGGAAACAGCAACAAAAAGCCCACTACATGGTTCAGATATGTTGATGAAATTTTCACCATTTGGATGAAACCTTCACCATTCTGGAACACGACCATACAGCATGGAAACCTCACAGCAACCCAGAATTGGTATGAATTAGATGATGATGATGATGATGATGATAATGATGATGACGACTATTATTATTATGTTTATTTATACTCCATTTTTTCTCTCCACAAAGAGACTCAAAGCGCCTTTATCTTCTCTATTATATTTTTGTTTGTTTTTAATTTTTCAGCTGCGCCAAATAGTAATTAATTAAGAAGCAGAGATATGGGAGCACAAAATTGGGGAGAAATAATCTCATTCTGTATTTGAGTTGGTACAAAGTTGAATGTGCTATTTCATAAGCTCTGTATTTTGACTCTTTGCTTGTGCTTTTAGAAATTGTTGGTTTGACTTATGTTTTTCAGGGACTGGTTAAATGTATTCAGCCCTCCTATAATCTCTCCTAGCCAGCAAGAGGTGGTAGAAAATGGTGGAACCAAGGCAGATATGAGCATTCAAGGTAAGAACTGTGTGCATGAAAGAGTTGTCCCCCATGCATTTGTCACAGAACTCAACTGAGTATGGGAGACAGGACAATGAGATACAACATGGCTTGCTCCAGCCATGAAAGTAATAAGTGTTACAATCAAGCTGTCCTGGAAGCCATGTTATTTGATGTATATGATAAAAGTTAAGTTACAGAAATCCTGCTAAATCATTGCACATAGATGCAAACAAACTATTCTGTATATACAGAAGGCACTTTATTTTCAGAGTTTCAGTGATCAGGCTGACAGGAGGATTCTAAGAGTTATACAAAATCTGACCTTTTCAAACTGAGCAGATTTTATTATATTTTGAGAGTAAATCATTAAAAGTGTATCATTAAAAGTTCTGCAAAATACCTTGCACCAGTATTGTGTACATTTGGAAGAGAGCATAACCTGTGTATGTACCTCTGAACTTACAGCATGCTATACATTTATAATGAAAGTAGAATGGAGAATTATGATAATAGCGAGGGCCTTATTTCTATACTGCCCCTTCCCTTTGATGATAATTTTCAGTTAATGAATATGGAGTATGTCTGAACAAGGCCCATGAACCCAATTCTCTAGTCTGTTTGCAAGGCAAAAATGGATAGGATGGGATAAAATGGTATTATTATGTTATATATCCAGATTAGATTATACACTTCACATGGTGTGCATTTAAAAAGAGTTCAGTTACCACAAAATGTAGCAGTCCATAAGGTGAGGTGATGTAGGTTGAACCATATTAAGCCAATCCAGCCTCCGCTGCGCAGGCTTCCAGTTCCAGTACTAACTGGGAACATATTCACCCTCCCATGGACAACAAGAATCAACACTAATTGAGGGAATGAGTTGCCAATAGGCACTCCACATTCGCTAAATTTAGGAGCACATGGCCCAGGTGAGATTGGAAAAAAACATGCATAAGAAATCCACCCTTTTTTCACCTTTGAGAACACTTCTCCAGAAATCTGGGTTCGCCAGTGCAATTCTAGAATCATACTGGAGGATCTACAAATGCCTAGAGAAGTGCTGTCACTAGAATCCCTAGGTTCTCATCATGCCTTTTTGATCAATTTCCAACACAAGTAGATTACAGAATCATACTTAAGCATTGCTTCTTAAACGGTGGGTCCCAACACGAAATGGGGTCCCCCTTAGCTCAGTATTAAACCTGGAAGTGTAGAGGGCCAACTGTACTAGTAACAGTAATTAATTACTATCTTACCATTTACTGATAATGAAAGTAATTTTTAAAAGTATTTTTTCAACTTCTCCTGCTTTCTGTCTTCCCCACTTTCATCAGGTCGAGTAGACTTCTATCATTCTTCCCTGACCTGTGGAAAGAATTAAATGTGAGGACCCCGTATATCTCAGTTCTATATTTTGGCTACTCTGCTTTCAGGAATGAAGCCATCTTGGTGATTCATTCTCTAATACAGATGGTGCTCCTTGAATTGGGAATCTTTTCATGGCTGTGTAAATTTGTAATCACTTGTGACAGCTAAATAGTTGTCAAGATAAGGCCTTGCTTTGAGGGATCTGACAATACTTTATGTTAAGGACCCTAAACATGCCAAAGGGAATGGGATAGTAATCCTCAAGTTAAAGACACATTCAATATACTTTTCTTACTGTCACTCTCATAAAATCCTATTTTTAACTTAAGCCACGCTGTAGTTTCCATAAAAATCTCACAGCTCGATAACTGAACCTTAGAAACCACTGGGATTGTAATGTAACGTTCTATTCTACTAACTTGCCTTCAGAATGACAATCGATATGAGTTGGTTTGGGCCATCTGCCTCAGAATTTTCTGTTATGCTTTTCTCTACATTTTCTCTTTTAGATAATTTCATTGTAGATTATTTTGTATGAAAAATATCTGACATAAAAAAGAAGAAAGTGTATGCAGTGTTAAACTGTCCTGTAGAACCCCTTGCCATTTAGTGTAATTGCAAAGAGTTCAAAATGTGTTTGGATATATATAAGGATTAGTGTACTGAGGAACATGTCTATGAAGAAATCAAGCTTCTTCATGCTCTGTTAGTTTGTATTTCTTTCTATTTTTCCATTTCTTTCAAAAGTTCGGGTGGCATATACCATTGATTGTCAAAAATACAAAGTTGCTTAACACTAAAAATCTTTATTGGAACTTCATGCTGTAAATCTTTGATAGCATTTGGTATTGGCTAAAATATTGTACTCAGCTAGCTGTGGACCACTTACTATATAGGAAGCACTCAGCTTGACCTACTGAATAGAACATTATATTTTGACATAGTAGCACATTGTGTTGCTAAGAGAATATTTTAACACAGTACTCCTAAATGCAGGAACAAAATTAGGCAATAGCACTTTCTAGGGGTTTGGAGAACACTGTTGGTCATTTGAGGACAAAAAAGAATGGATTCTACCATTTTATGGCAATAGGGCTATAAAAGTGAAGGGTCCTGGAGGAACCAATTTCTCTGCCTCCCTTCCCCTCCTCGAAGTTGTCCACTCCAAATTACCCTGATCATATCTCCACCTGGATCCAACCCATAGTTAAGTCCTTGTTAGAACCATTAAAATCAGTAATACTTCATTTATTCATACCATGAATATCTTAAGTCCCATTGATCTCAATGAGTTTACTGTGAGCAAACTACTCCTGAATCTTGACCTTTGAACCATTTCAGCTAATTCTATGATGCAGAGGTTGATAGGATCAAGCCATATTGCACCATAAATCCAAAACATTTCACACCAATCTATGGATTACCGCTGCAGTGGAAACTGCAATACAAAAACCAGCTGCCAGCAGAGGGAGGTTGATGCCTCCTAAATCACAGACACTCAAAGACGTAGAGATAACAAAATCAAGTTATCAGCCAAGAAAACCTGTGGTTATTTACTACTGGCACAGAATACCCTTGTCAACTTTTATATGCATCTCTAATGACATCCTATAACAAGAACAAAAAAATCAATTTTGTTGTTCATGCTAATAAAAGATCTCTGTGATATCCTTTATGTGGAACATAACTCATGGCAAATGCAAGAAAGGCTCACTTTTTCCATTTTAGAAGTCTTTCTGTTCGTGAAATGTTTGTTCTCAAATATATCTTTTCTTAACTGAGGAATAAGTGTCGGTTTGAACAGATGTGATGGATAAAAAATTGTGCTGCCTTTTGGGGGGGGGGTCCTGAAAAGCCCCCCCCTTCTGTCATTATCATATTTCTTCTGTTTTCTTTCTTGCCTAAGAATTACCTTGCCAGATCAGAACAGTGGGCAGCCCAACACCACTGTGTACTAATAAGCAGAATATTACGGGGACACTCTTTCTTGCTGCGTGTAGTATCCAGAAGTACACAGTGCAGCTGGGCAGCCCCTATAGATGCAATCTTCTGCTTCAGAGATGGACAGAGTGTAGCCTGCAGGATATATTTGGTGTCCAGGTACCATTTCTGTAGTCTCTGAAATTTTCTACTACTTCCCCAATCTCAATTGTTTTTTTAAAAATACAATTTGTAGGAAACTATGCAAAAAACATCCCAAATATGAGGAGACATCGCAAAATACCACCATTATCATCCCACAACCCCACTATCCCAAATACCACTATCATTTTCTATAATCCTTCTCAAAATTGTGAAAGGAATTGACATAGTTTCACCTTCTTGAAAAGAAGTACCAAGGAATATGGAGGTATTTGGGTGTGCCATGTAGGGGAGTGAGGGCACCCTACATAAAGGGGTGGAGGGGATTGGCGTCTGCTCCCCCCCCCCCCCCCCCCCCCCCCCCGGTTGTCCATCTCTGCTCTACCTGCCTCCCTGAGAATAAATTGTATTGACCTCAGTACATCTTACTTCCGAATAGATATGCATAAGTTTGTATTTTGAGGCATTGTTTCCTGGGCTGTAGAAGGGTTGTGGTGGTACCCATGTGGTTTCTACATTCGACAGTTTTTGCTTTCCAAATGTTTTACACTACAGTTTCTGAGCATGACCATTGGAGACATTAACTTACGCTGATAAGTGCTGGGGGTCTACAGGGGTTCCTTCTCTATTGATTTTGGCACCTCAATATGTCAGGTAATGTGTTGCCTGCTAGGCTCCTAAATGACATCAGACTGTTGGTGCTCAGGAATCCTCCTTTAGTTCCCTAAGCGCTAACCATTTGAAAAGGGTTCAGGAAAGGCCTTGGGTAGAGTACAAGTTGAATGCAGTGGTATGGACTTGGAAAAATGTGAGTATGCAGTTAAGATGGTACTTCTATCCACCTAGAGTTTATAAATATTCAGTGGTGTCATCCAACATAATCAGAACACTTTAGTTTATGTTTCTTTAGTTTATGTTTCACAAGACTACCACTTATTTAATCCCATTTGAGGGTACTGTTAATGATTTAAAAATCTGTATATTCAGTCAACACCTTCTATGTCAGCCCTTCTAAAACTGTCAGCTATGGAAGAGTGGCACATTGTTTTCTTTTCTTTTTTTCAGTGTCAGAAATTGATATAATATTTGTGCCCATTGGCTACAATTGTTTCTTTCTTTCCTGGAAACTCTCCAGGGACCAGCAGCTGACCCATGGACCACAACTTTGAGTAGCACTGCTCCACGTAGCATAACCTGTAGCTTGTGTGATCTCAGCTGTAAATACATCCTGAACATTGTGAAGCCACTGCTGTTGACATAACAGGCCATTACTTTGAGCCAGCAGAGCATACAATGCAGTTACTTTGTACTGTCATTCTGAGAAAGAGGTAAACACTTACAATGAAATGTGGAATGCAACCGCATTCAACTGAGAATTATTATTTGCTCTCACATTATTATCCATCACCTACCTTACTTTTTTCCAGCTGTAACAGAAAGACTTTTTTGTGAAACGGTGTCATAGCTCATTGCTTTGTGGCACAGCTTTAAAATGGGGTAGTCACAGAAAATGCTGGAAGCTGATAGCCAGAATTCAAAGTTCCCTTGTGACTTCTTCTTAGTCC